CCCGGAGGGGGGGGGAAGGAGGGGGTTTCCCCGGGCTTGGGCCAAAGGGGGTAAAGAGGGGAACCCTTTTTTTGTTTTATGGGGAAAGGGTTTAATTTTTTTTGGTTGGGGGGGGGGAGGGAAGGTGTTTTTAAGGTTTCCCCCCCCCCCCCCCCCCCCGCCTCTATCCCCCACCCCTCGGTGTTTGCCATCGGGGTTGGGTTTTGGTCGCTTGACAATGACGTTGTAAAAACAAGCCGATCACTTCGTGAACTCGGTGACCAGGTTGCCGCTTTTGTTTTGCCTCTTTTTTTTTTTTGCGGTAACCAAAATGGTGGTCGATTAGATCATGTTGTGCGGGGTCGAGAACGCTCACTCCGCGCAAAGGGGATGACGCACCACGTTGTGTTAAGTTGGTCAAGCACCCTCGAGGCAGTTACACAGTGCTTGCAATATAACTGTCGCTGGAAGTGAAAGCACCAGCAAAATAAATCAAGTCATACGCAGCTGTCACCCGTACGCAAGGAAGTAAGCACAAGATGCCGAACACCCTTATCAGGATGCAGCGCACCCTTCATGCGACTCGCCGAATACCTCACGGCGCTTCGCGCTTGGTGATGTGAGAGCCTGGTCCGGTGAGAACCCGGCGTGCCCCGTCCCTGCTTTGAAGGGATGCGAGGTCAATGGTCTAACGACTACGGCATGCACGACTATGAATACCCTCCCCCCCCTGCATTGAGAGGGCTCTTCAGCGCCGGCCGGGCAAGCACCCTTCCCTTCATGCGAGGTCCTTCGACCGCGGCAGGGGGCCTCACGCATTTCCAATACTTATATTGAATCTTCCGCACCAATGAATACATTTTTTTCTTTGAATGGTTCGCTCCCCCACATCCTGCTGATCACCCAACACCGCCGATAGCGGTCCTACTCTTGCAGCGCGGATCGCGTCGATAACCGCCTCGGTTGCTGTTACTCAATGCTTGCTGCACATTTTCAGGTGGCTTCTGCTGTTCCAACACATGAATGACGACAAGGACGTGCTGGTTTTTGTTATGAGTGTCTACGAGTTCGCGAAGACGTGTCCCGAGCAAACACGGGACTTTGTCTACGTTAATTACATCGACTCCGTCGCGTACGTGCAGCCCAAAAGGTGAGAGAACGCGTGTCTCCCAGCTAGTGAGCTTCTCGGTAGCATCGTGGTGACGTGTTCAAACAGAGCTCGACGGTTCAATGACGCTCCTGAACGTGTTGAGCGAACTACAGCATACTGCAGCTCTGCCGCAGAATTACACCACAAGGTCCGCCTGTCCCCCCGAAGTTGATCGCGGTAACCTTGCTTTCTGCGGGCAATTCTTCCGAAGGTACCGTCGGGAGGTGTTCCAGGAGGCTGGTCTCGTATCTAGAGTCGGCAAAGAACCGTGGATTCTACGCCGCTTACATCTGGGCGTGCCCTGCGGAACGAGGTCAAGACTATGTCCTTTATCGCCACCCTGTCGACCAGATGATGCCCGACAAGGACCGTCTTCAGGCTTGGTGAGGACTGACTATCCCCCCCCATCGCTCACATGGTGTACTTGGCACTGAGAAACGACCTTGGGTTGCATGTTGCGATGAGAACGCGATCCTGTACGTCTTTCCGTACATACCTTCAGAATCGTGAACGCGGTAGACGCCAAAAAAGAGCCGACCACTACTTCTTCTGGTATAAGACACTGCCGCTCCTTCTGTAGGCACAGTAGTCACGGGTGGTCGTGGTCGTGGTCGTGCGTCTTCTATGAACCTTTACATGATCGATTGCTGTTGTTGGGATGGTATTATCTATCTTCCGATGATCGATGTATGCATCACGACGACAGCAGACATGTTATTTCCGCCACACACAGCGAACGAAACTTCGCGAGAGGCCAGATTGTGACCATCTACTGAGGCATGCTTCACCTACCGCGAGATCAGCTTTTGAGACTGGATCGGTCAAAAGTTTGAAATGACTTATGCTACCCACAGCAGACACAGTTCGAATTTTGAAATTGACGCTAAATTACTATCATTTCGTTTGCCCTCTGACAGTTGCAGATTGATCCACACCAACAAAAATCAATCGTAGCGTCCGTAATGAACCTCTTCCAAGTTGAAACGATGGCCAGATCTCAAGTCATCCCATACTTGCTCGAGATAGTACGCCTATAGTCACGGCATGCATCCTGAGCAAATAGTCAACACCCAAAACACCATCCTCGTTCAACCCCGTTTGCCACTCCCAGTCCGCCACTGTATCACACCGTTCCTGCTTCCTTGCCACATGCAACTGCAAGGGCCAAACTCTCCCCCCTCGGCCCTACCGACAACGTATCGAACAGGAATCCGCTATACACCGAAGTGGTTAGGTTAAATAAAGCTGTCGCGTGCATATTTCGGCGCGCCAAAGCCTGTGCGGCATTGCTGATAGATACTGCTACCGGTCACAGTCAGAGAAAAACGCCCGCCGTCTTGCCGTCTTGCCGCCTTGCTGTCCGTGATCCCCTCCCCATCCTAACCCTTCTCCTTGACAACTGCCGCTGCAACCCATGCTCCTACTTCCGTGCCACCTGCAACTGCAAGGGCCAAACCCTCCCCCCTCGGCCCTTCACGTATCGAGCAGAAATCCGCTTTCCACCGAATTGGTTAGGTAAAAGCTGTCGCGCGCATATTTTCGTATTCATTCATTTACTCTCGGGGATCATAAGGACCACGGTTTGACATATGATCTGGAACTTATCGTTGAGAACAGATGTACACGTGGCCACCGGGATACCCGAATCCAGATTCTTCCACGCCACAAACGTGGTCTTCTTGTCTTCGAAAATTTCCGACACCAAATCTTCGGTTTTGCTGGAGTCCTTGACGCCACCGGTCACATGTGTAATTATATCTACGCCGCCCTCCTTCCCATGATAAACCGTAGTAGCATTCGTAAGAACATTGTGACACATGATGAGACACTCCTCGTCATAGTCAAGCCTCAGCTTATCCATGTCCCCTTCTGCAAAGGCTTCACAGTGATGCTTCCATGCTTCCGCCACACTCTTGGGACAGTATCCCGCCGAAGTTCCCGTGCAGTCCATGATCACTTCAGACCTTGAAAATCGGGAATCGACAAGTAAGCAAGTGGAGCAATGTAATTTTGATTTGCACTTTTTCAAGCAGAGGCTTTTTTCCGTTTATGGGTGTGAGAACTCATTCAAGCTTGACCAGCTTGGAAGTCCCTCGAAGAATTCAATGCGATATTTTTTCGTTTTAGGATTTTGCAAAATCGCTATCGTGTACACTTCACGCAAGCTGGACCTATAGCCTGAAGTCCCTTCAAACAATAAGGTGATATTTTTCCGATACATCCTTTCTTCCGGGTCGGGCGCCAACACACACCAACACACGCACTACGTAACTTCGACCGAAAGTCCAAAGGAAAACGCACTGACCAACTTTGTCACAGCCTCTCTCGTAGACCATGCCAAGGGCTGATCCTTTCTTTCCGACACAGCTAGTCTAGTGTACTTTATTTTCGGTGGGTAACGTGCAACCTGTTGCGTAAGCCTCGGTGAGGCTTGACGAAGAGAGGGTACATAAGCCTCAGAAGCAGACGAGAAACGCGGCGGAATTACGTTGTCACAGATCTGTGAAAAATGCTCCTCGATATTTAACAAGTTCAAACTCTGCTCGCTGTGTGTACTGAGTCGATGACCGTGCCTTAAACTTCTAGCTCTTGCCTAACTCTGTTCTTGCTGATCTCAGCGTTCTCGCTGATCTCGGCGTCCAGAGAATGTCACATAGGGAGTGGTAAGGAAAAAAAAAAAGAGGTTCGGACGATGAACGATGTGTGAACGCCGCCGGTGGGTATTGAGCCTACGTCGTTTTGCGGGAGGCGAGTGCTCTGAAAACTGAACTACAAAAGGTCGATGGACAGGAACAAGCTCTGGAGTTAGCTGTGAGAGAGGAGAGGGGAAGAGTGAGCGTAGGTGGGGTACACCCTCGTGCCTCGTCACGGCTTACAGATCGAACAACATCCCTGAGGAAGTGTAGAACACTTTCCGGATGTTGTGGTGTGACCAAGCAGGGCCTCGGTATATGAACGTGCACCGAGAGGCGACGGACAGACTGAGCGCTCTAGCAAGAGCGCGAGGAACGTTCTTCGGGCTGAAGGGACTTTCCAAGTGCCACGAGAAGCTGCGTGGTCTATGGCCCGAACCCACACCCTTAGGGAATTTCCTATTCGGCACGAGAGGGCGCGTGGTGTAGTGCAAAGATCCACAGGTCCGTGAGCTTCTTTGAACTTCGCCCACAACCAGTTTCTCGTAGAGGCCTGCTGCGACAGCACCACTAACGCCATCACAATAACAACACAACACACCATCACGAGTGGACCACCCAGAGTACACACTCTTAAGATAGTTTAAGTCACCGGTCACTAGCTCTCCTACTTGTCGCGAGTTGGCGACAGCCAACCAGACGATCTTCTTGATTTGATAGAAAAAAAAGGGCGACGAATGGCTGGCGTCCCAACATGGAAACAGGCCAAAGCTCGACGCAAACTACGACCGTGGGAAAAAGAAAGCGCAAGTGTGAGAAACAAATAGAGCGACGAGGCTCTACTCCCTCGAGGCTTTCGCGCGGAGGTACGCGCTTGCCAGATCGAAAGGGGTGTAGAGCCAGCACTTCCGATTTTCCAACAAACACAAGAGTTGGGAACGAAATACAAATTTGTTCGTTTGATTTGAGACCGAAAAAATAAAGTCAGACTGCTCTCGCGCATGAAATTGCAAAAAGACGCAACCGCGGTGAGAAAACGTACTAGCGGGGAGCGAGCAAGAGTTTTGCCGGGGAATGTTAGTTTGGTCAACGGTGTTTTTTTTTCAACGGTGTTTTTTTTTGTTCTGGATTTTGTTCTAAACCCCGAAAACGTTTTGAGCCCGAGATCAGTAGGCATTGCTGTGCAATCCAAAGAGGGAGACAATGGAGACAATAGTATATTCTTGTAAGTGTAAATGGGTTGGAAAACGGCCACAGTAAGCGACCACGTCCCAGCTTTTATTGGACCCGGTGTCCAAGTTAGTGCCGTGGCGAACCACCGACCGATCACCTTCTCGCACCCCTCCTCGGTTTCAGGACGCGTGGTCTCTCGGGATGGTGCTGTACTACCTGTCGACCGAAGCCTCGCCCTACTTCGCCTCTCCGGTGGAAAGACAGAAACGGTCATCGCACAATTCCGAGAGCAGATGCGGGGATCCCTATCTGACGAGAACTTCTGCGTTGATCTGAGACATGTTGGAACGTCGTGGCGGCGCCCCCTCCAATGTGCCCTCATCACACGCGCACACGCGCGGGAGACCGCGCGCCAGCAAACGAGGTGCTGGAGGCCTTCTCGCGAGGGATCCAGGGAATAGTCTCGACGGTGAGCAGGACAAGAGGCATGGCAGTATTTTCTCAGGAGCTCGCTGCGGTGTCCAAGAGCCTCACGGCACTGTCCAAGGGCCAAGCGGCGATTTCCGCGAACCAGCACGAGGTGTTGAGGCGCACAGGAACATGTCCAGCGACATGCGCCGTGTTCTTGGCGGAGTCACAACGATGTCGACTGTACTCGAACAACTGGCGGTAGACGAGCTTAGGATGCCGCACACATTCTTGGTTCTCCCCGAGGAGAACAACAAGCTTCCTCGGCCGAAGCAATGGTTTGCGGGCAGGGGGAGACTTCACTTCGTGTGCGCTCATGGGTTGGAGCTTGTGTCTGATGGCCCGGATGGTACAGGCTTCCTCGTTTCTCAACTAAAGGTGAGTTGTGGGTCATGAGCGCGTAATGATTGCACAGGGCACGCTAGAGTTCAGTTAAACTGCATGGATTTCGTCGTCGGTTGAACATGGTTGAGCTGTTGGCTACTTCCGAATGGATTTCTGTTTCGCTTGAACGTCGTCGCGTCTTCCTTACTCCACCCTTTTCCAACCCCCAGAAATGGATGAACAAACACGCCACGCTATTGCAAGTGATGGTGATGGTGATTGTTGCGACCGCCGCCGTCACTGGAACAGTCGCCTCCGCGGGGGCGCTGGAATCTGTCGTTGCTGCGCTGCACTGCCATTCGAAGCGGTCGTGCTGGAGGAGGACTACGAGTTTCTTTCGGAGGCCGGGGGAGAGGAGATGGAACGGATGCTGGGTGACATCAGCGACGCTCTGTACCCAACAAAGCCCGATGTCGGCGCGCTGACTAACCCCAAAGTCGTGCACAACGTTACCGGTGCCGAATGCCGTTCCGTCCTCAACTTCATGGACACCAAGTGTCAACAGTGGGATCGGCAGATGGGCGGAATGGAACGTATCTCCTCCCGGGACGAGGTGGTCGGTTGAGCTACAAAACTCTGTTGCTAGTTTGGCGTGTTCCGTTGGAAGCATGATGGCACTTACTTGCATATTCCGCCGGCGAAGATGCAGCGTTTTTTGCAACCACGCTCACTATTTTTTGGCGTTTTCACATGAGCACTACCCTCTCACCGCCCGACACAGGGTGGCCGACAAGGGGCAAAGCGCCCTGTTTTCGCGTCGGCTGCAGAGGGCATTTGTTTGACATCACACCAGTGACTGCTGGTTGTGGGTATCGCCGGCCTTAGGTCTTCCTCTGGCTTGATGTCATGACTAATCAAACTCGGCAAAAACAAAAACACCGTCCAAACGTTTATCATCGAAACACACTCCAGTTTACGTTTGCGGGCCGTGTGCAACTGAAACTGGGAAACGCTTGGTTTAGGGGCGCCTTTAACGGGCATGTGCATGAGATCACGCTACTTTGTGAAAATCGTTTGCCGAAGGGCTCTCTCTGTTATATGTTTTCGACTGGTCACATTTGGAGCTTTTATAAAAAGCGGCAAAAAACGATAATTACAAAACACCTTTTTTTTTTATCGCCCCTGGGTTGTGTGTAACCAACAAGGGGGGGCAGAGCGCCCTGTTTTTGGGCCCCCTGCGTAGGGCATGTGTATGGCTGCACGCTATCGACTGCTGTTTGTGGGTGGTGTCGGCCTCGGGGATTTCTCCAGCATGAATGTTTGACTCGGCACACTCGGAGCAGTCAGAAGAGTGGCGCTTCAAGGCCAAAAACGTAGACTGAGCAGGGCAACGAGCGCAGGTGACGTTTTCGGCTCATGTGCGGTCAACACGCGGCAGAACGCCTTGAGTTTTGGACACCTGCAGAGGGTTTGTGTATGAACTCACGGTATTGACCTCTGTTTGGGCAACAGACGGTGTAGGTCCTTAGCCTGAACCGATCATGGGTGTGACCCACAAAATAATAGTGAAAAAACAGGGCGAGGGCTGTATGAGGCGGCGGGCATGGTGTGTTTTTCTCGGATGGTTGAAAAATGGGCTATTGGAATTTGCCATTTTCCTACGCGTAAAAGCCCTTCCTTGTCGTTTGATGCTGTCGGAAAATAACCCCCCTCGTCTGAAAAGCAAACGAAAAAACAGCAGCGACAGAGGCGGCCTTGTTTTGGGGCATGGCGAGGGGACAGAGAGCCGATACTGTCCAACCAGGCCACCACGCGAGGCCCTATTCGGATATGGCTGGCGGTTCCCTGTCGTGCATTTGGACAAAGAGTGATCTATAAGGCAATAGAGTGAAACGTGCTGTCTGTGGGACCTGTGTGTGTGTGCGTGCGCCCGTATCTGGTCTTCACGTGCTTGAGGAATCTACAACTGCTGACGCCGAAACAAAAAGCAACCATCCATGTACGGTCTCGAAGCAGGGTCTTCCCCACATTCACACACCCTCGGCACTTTGATACCCCTCCCTCTCTCTCACCTCCTTTTGTCGATGTTCTCGGCTTCTCTTTTGTATGTCGGGCTTATGCTTCTCGGCTTCTGACAAGAGTAGGGGTGGGGGAGCGAAGCGCTAAGTTGAAGACAGATCAAGACCTCCCCCGATCCCCTCCACATCTCAAATTGTTGGTCCCGATGCCCTAAAGTCCGGTCCCGCGAAACCCCTTTTTTGGGACACGTTCCACCAAAGAATATTACTCTATTCTTTGCGCTCCACTCCGCGCAAAAACTCACCCAACGACGCGTTCTCCGTGCAGGGGTAGCCTACAGCTCAGCTATTTGTCCCGACACTGGCAGTGACATTTTCTGTGGTTGCCATGATGAGTGTGTGCAGCCAACCCGTTCGTGTTTTGCTCGGGTTCAGGAAGAGACCGCAGACCGGAGGGGGAAGGTCGGTATTCAATGTGCGGTTTTTTGTACCTTGCATGTGGCGGAGGGGTGACGGCATGGAATGAAACACATAGCAATCAAACGGTCTTGCAAGTACCTTTCGCGGAAGGCCCTGGTTGTGTTGGCGCGTGCTGAGCTGGTCGCACAAGGTCGAAAAGCGAGGTGCCACCTACGGGTATTCAAATACGACTTTTTGGAGCATTCATTCGTGGTAAGCAATTCCGCCGCTTTCGGGCCGTTTCAAAAAGGGCCGTTTTAATCATTCCAAATTTGTTCCAAAGTTTCCAAATGTTGAGCCTGTTACCCGCAGGGGAGATGTCCCTATATGCTGTCTGGGAAATCGTAGACATACAGGTACTTTCTGACGCTATGAATCCATTGCTAATCTGTCTCAGACTCTTTTCTATGATAGAGATGGTTTCGTTGTGTCATATTTAGAAAAATAAAAAATATATATTTGGAGTTTGGAGTCAAATATTTGGAACCAACATCTTCATTTTAAACGAGCTGCAAGGCAACTTTCCAAATCAAACTCGCCGCATGTGATGGCGAGTGGGCATGCCCCTTCAAACACACCACCCACGCCACAGACAACGGCCCCACACGCGCGACACCATGGTAGGGCCTAACATAGAGAGGGGTAGTGGTCACCAAGGGAAAATCCCGGCAGGATTCGGCAAACAGGGCGGTTATAACGGCGCTGCTGTAGGTCCAGCCGCATTCGGTTTCCCTGCTCGGCAGGCCACCAAGTAACACCTCAGGCCAAGGCGGGCAAGCGCGAAGCAGCAAGATGCCGAGAGCATGCCCTACTTGCTGGATAGCGTCAGCCAGGTTGTTGAAAGGAGAAGCCATCATGTCTCGGGCCTCGAGGTTGCAGCAGCAGGTGTGTGAGAAGCTTGTTTTTGTCTCTCTCGCCATCTGTCTACATACGTGTCCGCCTGGTGTGTCCGCCTGGTGTGTCCGCCTGGTGTGTGCGTGTGTCGCTGTCTTTCTCTCGTCTCGCCGCACTCGCTCGCACCCGCAATACCCACAATACCACCCCAACTCTTCGTCTCGCACTGCAAGTCGAAGCATGTGTCGGGTGGTATTCATGATTAAAAAAATGATACCCACATGTGTGCGTCCCTATTCTTGTATCAGGACCTCCGACTCTGTAGCAAATAATTCGAAGCATGCGCCCCGGTGGTCTAGGTAGTATCTTCGACACCTTCTAGAGGTCAGGTCAGGGGTTCGAATCCCGGCGTAAGCGAGCTTTTCCTGCAAAGTGAGTTTTTCTCTCGCTTTTGCTCATGGCCCAGTGCGCTAGTTCGTGTGTACACAGAGGGGAAGAGAGTGCTGAACTCTTCTCGCATTAAAAATCGAAGGCAAAGTACCGCAGGAGGGGAGGGTAGAGAGGGGCTCTTCTGTATGTCCACGGGTTGGAAATAAATGGCACTGCTGTAGTGCTGTGAGCGCTGATTTGAAGTAAAGACAAAAAAAAAAAAAAAATGCTGGTGCCACGGACGGTGCTAATGTTACCCACTGCGTACAGCAGCTGCTGTAGTCTACCTCTACATAGTTTGTACATGGGCGCATATATGCCGAGAGTTCCACTGCTGTGTCCCCGAAACTACTGCTGTATCGCCGAAATGTTAAGGAGTGTGGCTGCTAGCTTAAATAGGGTACATCTTATTGTTGATAGGATGTGGGTCGGTCCCAGGAGGTATACCCTTCAGACACCTACCCTCTTAGGATTTGTCTAGTCTGCGTACCCCCTGAGGTGAAGTTGGATCCCCACTTCACCTCAGACCCTTGCTGATCGTCTCTCAGCAATAACAAGCAACTTTCTCATCTCTACGTGATCGTGGACAAGCGTGTCAACGACAGAACCTACCTTCATCTATCTCTAGGAGCAAGCTACCGCCCACGGCTTCCCCTCCTTTAAACTATGGCGTCAGCTGGATACTGGTTCGAATCTCCTTGGGTGCACGTTTTTTCTCCTGACTTGGACATTTTCCCATGGACACCATGTGTGTCAGTCCTGAGAACACCTCTTGGAATCGATCCTATAAAGAACCTTGTGACACTTCCATCGAATTACCCGTCCTGGCCACAAGAGGTTCCCAGTTGAGGGTAAATTCTGTGGGTGGAGAGTGTTAAGGAGGACCCGATTCGCAGGGTATCCGTCGATTGAAACCTGCTGTAATCCGTCAGTCAAGTCGGCGGCAGCAGTGGCAAAACGTTTTTTTTTTTTTGTGTGACATGGACGGACATACATGTATGTACCATGTACCGCACAAATGTACAGCATATTTATTTTTGGACTCATCATGCGTTGTGGTGTGTTCGTCCACAGCAGCAGCCATTCTGCCAGCGTGCAGTCCTTGTGAGACAGAATGTGGATTGTTTCGTACAGCAGTACAACGTATTCGTCAGAATACGCCCCATCACCCCTGCGACTGCTGTTGTCGACACCAAACATGCGTGACCACGACACGAGAAAAAACTATATCTGTAGTACGCATTCACCTACCACATATATAGACCTACCGCTCGCTCGCGCGCACCCGACAATTTCTAAGGTGCGAATGCTACAATATTTGACTGAGCGTCCCGCAACGTTGCCACTTTTTTTGTTTCCCGTCATCAAGGCGAAAATGCCGCTGCAGGGGGCGATCGCACCTCATGCAGCCGGAAGAAATTTAAAAAATGGGATCTTCCGCGCGTGACCGAGTAGACGGCTGGTAGAGGAAAGGCCTTCCCGAGAGCAACGGACGCAGCTGGCGCGAAAGCAGAGCTCCACAACGAGGATACAGCGCGGAGAAACGGGGCACCGACTACGGCATTTTGGAGGACTTCAAGAACGATAAATAGTGAAGGTGATCTCCGAAAGCAAGAATCGATTCAGGCAGCCCACCCCTTTGATTTTTCTTCTTGCCACAGAACGAGCTTGCACGATCATCTTAATGCCATTCTCCGCTTGTATCGGTACAGGAACGCCTTTTCTGAGCTATCCCACGCCTCAAAATATTTGTGTGCCATCCTGCCCACGGTGTTGATTTTCCTTGTCTCGAGTGTTTGCGCAACGAAACGGCAGATCGGCGCACCATCAAGAATAAAAACGATGTACAGTAGCAGTGTTGCCGAGGAATTTTCGCCCACCCGGCCTCCCTCCGATCGCCCTTCTCACTTATTTTTGCGATGGTTATCAATGTCGCAGGTTGACGGAGCGGTGGGGGAATATCTCGGAGTATGAGGGAGGGATGAGAGCGAGCGCCAATTGGGTGGGGATTTAGGAGGGCTCGTTGCTCTAGGGGTGATCCATCGCCAAATATTTCTGGGACAAATTCGTTTAGCACAACGTGTTTTCGATACGTTCGGGTTTTGGCGTCCCTCGCATTCGTACTTTGTTATGCATGTCGGTGTGGTTCCTGGAAGGCCCACGCACTTGCCATTGTTGGTATAAAAAGGAGGGCGAGGACGGTACGGTGGCAAGTTTTTTTTGTTGGTCCACGCCACTCGTAAAACCGTGGCATAACCTTTTTTTTCAGAGGCGAAGCAACGCATTTGTAGGTAAAGTAGGTAAAGTACCTCTTAAGGAAACAAGCATTGCGTGAAAATTGAAGACACATGCTGACACGTAGGTGCAAATATGTTGGTGGCAGTATCACATGCGTTCGTACTTTGGGGAGCAAGAAAGAGAGCTCAGCCGATGCTCAGAAATATACTTTGCCCTGACACCCAATTCCCGGCGTCAGTATTTGCCGTGTTGTAACCCGTTTGACGAAGGACCTTTCAGCATGGCCATGTGTCGTTTTCATGTGGGCTACTTCTTTTGGGGCAACGTGCCACGTGCGTGATTTTTAAGGAAGATAATGGAGATCGCAATAATCGTGCTACGATGGTCACGGTATACTGCGCTTTGCGTCAAGGGTCAAACGCATTTTACCACGTGAATGAGTTCCCAACATTTTGTTGTTCGTGGTGTGTAAATCACAAACGCCACACCTCCCCACAGGGAGTTTTCTCTATTTCGTGCGGTCTACAATAGTTCACTTACCGTGCGGAACACCCCCCGCCATGAGAATATCCCCCAAAAAAATCTGGCCGAAGCCTCAAACTTTGAGTTAGCCCTGGGGCATTTTAGTTTTATTCGTCGCGGTTGGACAATGTCCGAGGCATTACTCCCGGGATCTTCATCGTTTCATTCGCCTCCGCAGGGTGGCACTCCTCGTTCTGCAACAATAGCCCCTTCGACCCATAAATTTAGTGTGGGGGGTGTCTATCACGACATACATCCAAGCACCAACCACTCGCGACCTTCGGACACAAGAAACACATATATATCCCCACACACAACCAGCAAATCACATCAGCCACAACTCCGGCGTATAGGCAAGCACCTCTACCGGGTGATTTGCTGCAGCACACTGAGAACAGGAACAACAATAGTCGTTGCTGTGTTGTTTCGGTGACGGTGGTGAATACCTCACGCTGTGGTGGCGTATTGTTCCTACTGCTTGTTGTACCCCTCAATGTAAAAAGTACGTGTTAAGACGGGCGGGAAGATTGGCTGGTCTGGTCGAATGCCGCGAGAACCAAGGCTTTGCCAGCTAGCCATCGTGCATGTACAGCCACGTGTGGCTTGTACAGGCGTGCTGCACTGCCGCGGTAAATCACACGACGCGTGTGCTGCAGCGACACGGATCTGCAGATTTCGCGGGCGGCGCTTGATTACTGGTTGGCAATTTCCTCGACCATCAACGCGAAATACCTCCGTTTCAGTGGTGACTTGCCATCCAGCCTCGCGGTTTCTTTGTAATTCCCCGAGATAACATCACAGGGGGCACGACTTGAGAAATTAGCGTAGGAGTTGGTTTTGGAGGCATGTAGGAGGTAAACGTTGCTGACTAGACCATCTGCAAGCACCTGCTGCAGGGTTTTAAAACTGTGTCATTCCGCTAGACAACATAAAATCTATGCCCGGTGTTGGCTGATGGTGTTTGCGGGGACTTTCGAAACCCGTACTGCTGCTAGTGTAGCTGCCTTGCACAAGGACAAAGTGCGTGGTGTGTTGTGTGATTTGAGTACAAGGATCGGAACGTTAGCTCTAGGTAGGGTAGACAGGTTATGGTGAGAACTGCAACCCGCAGGGGTAGAAATATTGATGGGGATGAGTCTTTATGGCCCTCCCTTCAGGAGGCGCCTCTCCCTCCTCTTGGTGTATAGTCTAGTCTGTCAAGAGACCTGACAATAATTGCAAGTGCAGGTTCAATAGAGTACTGAAGTGAGTCTTTTCCGGGTGCTTCCGGGTTTTCTATACGCGTGTGAACCTCGCAGTATTTGGCATTTTTCCGTGTTCGAAACGAATCTTCGTTCCATCATGATCCATCGCGATATCATCCCGCCCACGGGCGTTTGTTCGCCCTCTGGGTGTTTCGAAGTGGTTGACAATGTTTCACGGCAGTTCCTGCCCCCGGGATGGTTCTGTATGGTCATCAACGAATTCCTCAAGAACCTCAACCTTCAGGTGTTGCTTCATATAATAATTGGAGGGCCTCATAGTTTTTTATGGGACAATTCGCTCTCTATTGGAAAGATGACGTACGGTAAAAAAACACCTCCATCAGCCACCATTTGCGCAGCAACAAAAAAGCCGAGACTCTCGGGCTTACCATCTCCCTTCGGACGGTGTTCGGTCAAATCGTGACAAAGTTTGAGCCCTCAACAAAATCGCGATGCCCTTGGACGCCAAGCAGCTTTGAGCGTTGCTGGTTGGTTTTGAGCTATTACCGGAAGTTCCTCCCGGGGATGACTTTTAAGCGCTTTCGACCTCATACGAAGCTGCTCAACAAGAACGTGAGGTTTGAATTCAGAGCGTATTGGGAAATCTGTGGGTCGGCAACTTCTTTCCGAACTAGCGGGAGCCCTCCTGTTCTGTCTGGTATATCCAGATTGGGATGTTGTATCCGACAGACCACGCCCTTTCTGACCTCCTTTTTGTGACGTGAGTCACGACGAGTTTGATGGGACTATATAGAAACACGAGCAACCTGCCCGGGGCGTTTCTTTTTGGCGTATCATGTTCGTCTGCCGCGCTGTACATAGACTGCATACCTTGGACTCTGAGCGTCATTGGATACCCGTCGATCTGGAGGCTGTGGCAGCATCACCTATCTATCTATCTATTTGGTTTATCAAGCGTCTTCGCGGATACGCGGTGCGGTCGCAAACAAGTTCCAATTTTTACCCGACACGAGTGTATTCCCCCATTACAAAGTAGAGGCTTACAGCAAGTGGGACTACAAGAAGAACTTCATGTCAACGACGCGCGTTTGCAGCCTGTCTCGGTAATGCGAGCTTGACTCATTCTATATATATATATAGCGTTCATGCTATACCTCGCCCATTGGATGCATGCGGTTCATGGTGCGTGTTGGATGTGTAGCCTGTAGCCTACAAGTCTGAAGTGTTTAAAACAGAAGAAGCGCTATGTACTACCATGGTATGCACGTGTACTCCTCAAAGAGATCCTTTCGATAACGTGCCACCTCTGTATGTCAATGTGTCATGCATGTATATGTATGTGTAAAACAAAGAGGAGCGGGGGGTCCGCAAAGTGCAACCTGCACCCCTCCCACCGTAGTCTTAGAATTGCTCAGCGAGGCGCAAGTCCGCTGTTCTTTGGTTGTTGTTTTGGTTGTTGCTCGCTCTCACTCTGCTACCGCTGCCGTTGCAGGGATTTACAGCAGCCGCGTGACCTGCTGTATTAATATGCCCCGCCGTCTTCTGGCTGCTGTTTTCGCCGGCGCTGCTGCTCTGTTTCTTCTCCAATGCGGCGATGGCTTTACCTTCTTCACTACAACTTCGCCCCTGCTCTCGCCCCTGTCAACGGCGTACCCTCGGAGCAGATTTGCACGGTCGAGTAGTAGAGGCGGGATCTCGATGTCTGGATCGAGGTGAGGGGGAGGACAGCCATCGTAGCAGTTAGCGCTTGAAGGTGTGAAAGGTCTGTGCGTCTTGGTAAACATCTTGGTGACGTTGGGCTTTATTTTGAATTCCGTTTATCCCGCCGCATCTCCGCAACCAGCTGTGCAGATCCCAACCTCCAACCCTACCATCCACCACCAGCTTCGGCCTCCACGGAGAAGGCCGCCCGTCAACTCTCGCCAGCTACCTCCACACTCTCCCAATGAGTTGGGCTTCGAGTGTAGAAATGTCGTGTTGCTTTACAATACTTGTTCTCTCCAACCAAGTCTCTCGGAAAAAAAGATACGATCGGGATTCGAAGTCTTGGACCATTGCATGCTCTTCTCTTAGTCTACTATCGCTACTTGTCTACAGCAGCCTGCTTCGTTCACCTGGACAAGAGTTGACACACAGCCGCCGGCTGCTGACGTGCCGGTTTTTCACGCGTGTCCACTCGCCTCCGGCACCATAAGGTGTGCCTGCATCCAGCCGTACGTCGGCAGGATGTTCAGAAAACACGCCGAAAGGAATCTCAAATCAATTCGTCATTTGTTATTCAAACTACAGCAGTAGAGGTCCCTGTTTAGTGCCGGTTGAATGGTGCCGGTTGCCGGTATTGTGCCGGTGTTTTCGGCTCGCACACACTGGAATGCAAAGTCGTTCTGTACTGGGAGTAGTGCCGGTGTCCGGATTAGTGCCGGTGAAATTTCGACGCACACCCCGGCATTAAACAGGGACCTCTACTGTAAGCCTTGATCGCGAGAGAGAGAGAGAGAGAGAGTTGTCTCTATTGTACACCTCTACCCTCTTCCCCCGAGAGAGTGTAGATTACCTCGTGCGGTTTCTTCGCACTTCATCTTGCACGATTCAAGAGGGAGGGCCCACAACAGCAGTAGCCCCTACCCGTAAGCGGGCGCTTGTATATACCGTCATTGATGTGGTTGCACACGTCCGTCATGCGGGTCTGCTGGCTGCGAGAGGCACTTGTGGCCGGACACCGCGCGGGAGACAACAACAAAAAAACGTTCCGCCCATGTGCGCACAACGCGGCCCATAGCTAGGGATGTGACTTAAATGGATGGTTTTCGTTTGCCGCGCTAGCTCACTACCTCTTCTTGTCAAAGCATTCGATATCCAGTTCCGTTCCATTGTGCTCGCGACCACCAACCATGTCATGTGCTGGTTTTCGTTATTCGCCATTGGGTTGTGGCAGCAACGGCCGCGAGAGCTATAGCTGGGACGAAGGCGTGCTCGATAGAGCGGTGAAGGACATGCTTGTCGACAGGGCGGTGGAGACGGTGCGACACCTGTGGAATGAGACCGGCGGTGAGAGCGTGCTTCTTTTTTGTTTCGTCGATTTGTCACGTACGTATGCAGCGATTTCATGAGGCGAGAGGAACGAACGAGCTCTCTGCTTGTGGAGAGACTGGAGTACCGCCTGCGTATATACAACTCCTCGAGGGTATACCGATTCTGGCCCGTGAACGTTGAGATCAGGGTATTATGCGGTATCTCAGAGCGTACCTTTTTGTCATCGTAGCTGCTGTTGTTGCCGTTACCAGCGCGTGACGGGATATTCTGGCATTGGCGAAGTAATACCCGACGTTCTTCCAGACTTTCTCTCTCTCTCTCTCTCTCTCTCTCTCTCTCTCTCTCTCTCTCTCTCTCTCTCTCTCTCTCTGTGTGTGTCTGTGTCTCACTTACACACGCTTAGCTATGCAGCCGGCCGGCGCGGCCAATGCTTTGTGACAAGGGTTTTGCTTTTGCTCACCCGTTTGTCTTGGAACTTTTATTAGTACGTCTCGCCTCGTTGGCATGGGTGTGCTGTGTGTAGAGAACACACGCTCACCACTTCACACCAGCTCTCCGCCTATGCTCCTCCATCAACCAATCCCCCCTATTATCATGTATGTATACATGCATGCAGGAGACACCCACCCACCCCCCGCTGGTCTTCCCTATTTATCGGTCCCCCTCGTTTTATTCTCATGTATGTATGCGTGCAGGGGACATCCATCCACCCCACTCCTTTCTTCCCTATCTGTCGGTCCCCCTCCTCTTGTTGTTCATGTATGTATGCCTGCAGGGGACATCCATCCACCCCCTCCTTTCTTCCCTATATGTCGGTCCCCCTCCTCTTGTTGTTCATGTATGTATGCGTGCAGGGGACATCCACCCACCCCCCTCTCTTCTTCCCTGTCTGTCGGTCCCCCTCCTTTTGTTGTTCATGGATGCATGCATGCGTGCAGGGGACATCTACGGTCAGTGGTTGGACCGTTTCACCGCCAGGCAGAACCTAGGCGATGACGTCATTTCGACCATGGGCTGGGCGCGCTTTCTCATCAAGATGTAAGAGCTGTCGTTGACCATGGCGGCGGCAGGAGAAGGGGCACGCAAATGGCAGACGAAAGCAAACAACCACGGTTTTTTTTTTTTCGTGGCAAGTTGTGTTTTGTTACGTTTCAAGTCATGTGCATCCCACTCCTACCTGCTTCTCTGTTGAAACTATCGGTATTTTTTTTTGTTTTCTCTTCTGTTTGGTGTAGTACGAACCAGCTGCCGAAGTTCCAGAGGACGGAGATATATGGTGTACTAGACAGCGGCAGGCACCAGTGACCGTTCCTCCTGTATTTTGTATTTTGTACCTTATTCTGGTACGTATCGTCTTTCTGCTTCTTGCGCCGTCGGCAATAGTCAGTAAAAGGTACACCGCCCGTTCTCCTCGGGGTCGCGTTCGGTGATAGACCCCTTGCCTATACCCTGGTGATAGACCCCTTGCCTACATCCTGTCTGCCGGCCCCCCTGCCTTTCGCGCGCCCCGACGCGCGCTTTTGTTGTTTGTTGTTGTTGTTGTCACCCTTTTTCGTTGCATTTAGGATGAGAGAGGAACCGGTGGAAGCGGTTGTGATCAGGACGGCGAAGAAGGACAGCCCCCAAGTTATCGAGGCGCAACGCAAGGCACGAGTCCGGATACTATTTTCCTCGCCGCCATGCCAACCTTGGTGTCTTGCCCTTGGTGCCTTTACAGGCCCTCTACCCTCGTGCTTTCTATCCACCTTGCGCATGCGCCAAACGTACTTAGATTCCCGCTCACGCAAGAGGAACGCGCCGCCCGCCCCCTCCCATCCCCCCGAATAGTACTACCATCCGCGCTTCCTTGTTGACGTTCGATTATAGAGAGCCAAAGGAGTTAGCCCACTCCTTTCGAGTGAACTAGCCACCAACGGCCGCCTCAGGCACCCCGATGATCAAACAGGCGTGCAAGTCTTTTAGCTCTTGTGCGAGAGTCACGTCCGATTGAGCACAATCGACGTTCGCATGCCATGTCTTCCGGGATTACTTTTTGGTGGTGAGGAAGGGGATATCGTAGGTTTCACAGCAGTATTGCGTTGTCTGAGATATTTTACTCTTGGGCGGTGGACGATGGTACCAACGGTCAAGTTGTGACGGGTGCTGTTTAGATCGATGCGGGCTGCTTCTTTCGTTTTGGAGGGCCTGTTGGGTGATAGTCCACACGTCGGCGACGGGCCGACAGGAACCAACCCTTGCCTCTGATGCGAATCGACAGACGTACACACACCGGCTGAGCGCTATATCGCCCTGTCTGACGCGTCTACGGAAGCCCGACATGCCCCCCCGATGTGCTTTGAACGATTCCCAGGATCTAGTGTTCAAATTTCCTGCGAGTATGCATAATACCTCGCGAGCGCACATCCTTTGCCACACACACACATATGCCTTGCCCCCCACCCCTCCCCGCCGCCCGCTTTCTGCGAGCATGCATGATGATACCTTGCGGCAACCCCCCCTTGTGCCCGCCCTCTTCTCCCCCCAGAATAACGCCCGCCCACCGACGCTGAGTCCGTGGCGACATTCCGTGAATCAGCTGTCTGCGGACTGGGACGCCGAGGAAGAGGTGGGGGTTTTAGTCGCGCCAACATCTGGCCGTGGTTGACGTACAGGGAGCGCCGATCACCCGCAAGAGCTTAGTTATTCTAGAGTTTGACGGGCAACAATTTAAGCTTGGAAAATAGCTCAGAAATCAAGCAGTAGCTCACGTTTTTTGTGGTGTCATGACCAAAGAGTCTATTTTGTGTACGTGGTCGCTGGTTGACCCATTGATGCGACACCTGATCCGAGGCGGGGCACCTTGCCCCCTCCTAGTCAGAGGAAGAATGTATCCTGCGGGACCCCCTTGACCTCGAAGCTTCCATCTACTACAAGAGTGTGGCCAAGAAGGACGGACTCGGCCACAGGCCTGCTTGTGTCTTGACCAAAGAGCTTGGGGGGCCCGTGTGGGGATGGACAATGATCACTCTCCATAACCGACTCTGCTCCGTCCCGATACTTTTCGGAACAGACTCTTCGGGAAATTGTTCCAGTACATGATACTGCGGCCCCCTTCTCAATCTCCCAGGCGCGATGCAGGTAGGATGACCCCCTTCCCCCCCCCCCCCCCCCC